TATAACTCCAAGTCACTATTCATCACTGAAGGAAGTCAGGACAGGAACTCAAACAGGCCAGGAACTCAGAGGCAGGAGCTGATGCAGAGGCCATGGAGGAATGCTGCACACTGACTTTGCTCACCCAGCTTTTTTACATAACCCAGGACCACCAGCCCAGGGGTTGCCCCATCCACTGGCTGGATTCTCCCCATAAACCACTAATTAGGAAAATGCTCTACAGCCTGATCATATGGAGGCATTTTCTTAATGGAGGCTTCCTCCTCCCTGATGACTCTAGATTGTGTCGAGTTGAAATAAAACTAGCCAGCACACCTAGCCCTTGTCAGTGTGACACACAAACACATCCCTGTTAAGCTACAAACCTAACCTTTCCTTGTTCATCCTCAAGATCAAACATTAATATAAACATCACAATAAAAACATTTTATGAGGGCTGGAGAGATGGCTCAGAGGTTAAGAGCACTGACTGCTCTTCCAGAGGTCCTGAGTTCAATTCCCAGCAACTACATGGTGGCTCACAGCCATCTGTAATTAGATCTGGCGCCCTCTTCTGGTGTGCAGATAGACATGGAAGCAGAATGTTGTATACATAATAAGTAAATAAAATTAAAAAAAATTTTTTTTTACAAACTTAAAAAGTCCCCAAGTCTTACAAATTCAAACACTTTGAAAGTTCAGCTTGGTGCTGAAGAGATGGCTCAGCGGTTAAGAGCACATACCGCTCTTACAGAGGACCCAAGGTCAATTCTTAGCACCCACATTGGGCAGGTCACAACTCCAGCTTCCCAGGATCTGATCTGATACCTCTGGCCCCAGAGGGCACCAGCACTAACATACATGTATAGATGTATTCACAAATACACACATACATACACATAATTAAAATAAATTCTTAAAAAGAGATTTCAGCCTGTTTTAAAATCCAAAGCCTCTTTTAAAATCCTGTGACCATGTCTGGGATGGCTGGGGCATACAGGATCTGTGTACCCAGGATGACTCTGGTGCTGGCAGCTGGTGCTTGCTTGTAACCATGCTCAGGGCAGGCTGGGGCATACAGGATCTGAGCAGCAGATTGCCAAGTAAACACATTTCTCCTCTTCATTACACTCTGCAGTTCCCAAACTAGCCCCATGGCAGGAAAGTTTGTTGAAGATACTAATAGGTTTCTGCCCCCAGATAATAAGTTTCTCTGCAGATGCAGTAAGCCAGATCAAGCCAAACTGAAAAATTATAACAACAGATTTATGTGAGCAAAGCAATCCCCAGATGAATTCTCCAGTCCTAGAGATCAAGACTGGAGAGGCTTCACCCCCAAAATAAAGCAGGGAGACTTTATAGGTTGCAGGCAAGGGGTAATGTCATGTTCACCACAAGCTGATTTTGTGCCCAAGTATGGTCAAAAGCTGACCGCCTAAGCGGGGGTTTGGGCTGTTGGCAGCAATGGGGGAGGAAGTTGCAATATTGCCAAGAATTAAGAAATGGATGTCTGGAGAGAGGGTTCAATGGTTAAGAACACTGTCTGTTCTTCCAGAGGACTAGGGTTCAATTCCCAGAACCCACATGGCAGCTCACAACTATCTGTAACTCCAATTCCAATACATGCAAACAAAACACCGATCAATGCTCATAAGATAAAAATAAATTTAAAAAAAGAATGCAGAACTGGGCTTTTGGCACCTTTTCTTTGTTCAGAGACTTTCTGTGTGGGCACGATTTGGAGAGAGAGAGAAAGACAGGAAGGTGAGTTTCTGGATCATACTGGTGACCCCTCCTAGGGCCTATGAGGCAGGCTGCCCTTAGGGGTTGAGTACCGAGGACACCCAGGCCGTTGTTGTCCTGTCACAAGTAGGGAGATTTCAAGAAGCAGAAGAGGATGAGGGGTGCATATACTTTGGCGCCCATGACTTCTCACTCCATAGGCTTTGCTGAGATCATATATGAAGTACTTCCCAATCTGAACACAGGAAAAACTATGGGCAGATAACAGAAGGAAAAAGTGCTTATTTTCCCTTACTGGAAGCTTTCTTGTACTTTTCCCCTAAGCTGGCAATCAAAAAAAGACGTTTGTCTCCAAGTACCAGCTAAGCAGGTCAGCAAGGGCTATCAGTTGGCTGGTCTCTTTGTTAAGTAAACAATAAACTTTAGAAGTGTGCTCTGTAGTCAGGAACAATCCACACCCACCCACTCCCTTAAGTGCACCCTTGATCTTGGACAAAGTATCTGGCTGAGACCCAATAACCAAAGTGACCACTACACTTTTCTAGAATCTGTCTGCATGCACAAACCTAGGTACAGCTTTGGAGTAGAGTGATGGACCAGAACTCACTGGGAAAAGGCCTTACCAGCTCCTGACTGGCTGGCCGAGTTACCTAAATGTTTGAACTGAATGATGGGGCTTTCCAGCCTGCCCTAACTGGTGAGCCTCAGCAGTCACATGGGAGATGCTGCCTGAGTGTTACGGAGTAGGCCCCACTAGGATCACCTGGGGGCCACCTCTGGATGGCCCATCAGCCCATGATGTACAAGAGGCCAGCACCAAACTTGCCACAGGCTTCCTCAGCTGACTGAGCTTGGCTGTATGTGACATGTCCGTCTCACAGGCTCCTGTCTGTCACCTGTGATGGAGGAACTTTACTCACAGTCTAAGGCAGATCAGAAGGGTGGTGGCCCTTGTGTTCTAGAGTTGTCACCTTAGGGACCCCAAGAGGGAGAAGATGCAACCAAACTGAAGCCAGAAGAGGCTCTTAGCCAACTTGGTGTCACGGATGTGAGGTAGCATAGAGGTGACCAGGGAGTAGGTAGGTAGACAGTGGGATAGAGTAGGCTGAACATGGGGGGATGGATCTATAACTGGACAGAGCAGGGTTGACCATTTTACAAGAAAGCTTATCTTTTCCTTAAATTCTTCCACAAATACTTCTCCCACATAGAGATTTCTCAGAAGTATAAGTTAATTGAGTATATCGCATGACATGCTTTAGTTTATTGAATCATTTTCTGTTTTATTAATTTTTTGCCAGCCTGATCAGTTTCCCCTCCCTTCCTCCTGTCCTCCCAGTCCCTTCCAGCCCCCCCCCCCATCCACTCTTCCTCCTAATCTTATTGCAATTTGATACGCCATGGCTGGCTGATGTAAATGTGAGGCCTTCCCTATTCTGAATCATTTTCTTACCAATTTGTTAGATTGTCCACAAGCATAGTTAAACTGCGGTGATTGAGTGTGGGTGAGGGAGGCTGGAGAGATGGACCAGCAGTTAAACAGCACCTCTCGCTGCTCTTGCAGAGGACCTGGGTTTAGTTTGGGTTCAGTTCCCCGAACCACATGGCCCCTCACAAACCACCTGTAAGTCCAGTTCCAGGTCTTCAACACAGAAGTAGTGTGTATATGTGGTTCATATACACACTTGCAGTCAAAACACTCATGCACATAATATAAAAATAAATGTTTTTTAAAAACATGGTGTTGGGCCGGGTGGTGGTTGGTGGTGCACGCCTTTAGTCCCAGCACTCGGGAGGCAGAGGCAGGTGGATCTCTGTGAGTTCGAGGCCAGCCTGGTCTACAAGAGCTAGTTCCAGGACAGCCTCCAAAGCCACAGAGAAACCCTGTCTCAGAAACCAAACAAAACAAAACAAAAATGTGGTGTTGGACACATTTATGTCTCTTCCTCAGAAGATCAGCTGGGACCTCTGTGCTGGGTCTTGCTTGGCTTATGACCAGAGAAGCCGCTAACAGGGCTGATGGGCACTTTGAAATGCCGCTGGCCATATTGATTTTTTTCCTTTCCCTTCTTGTTCTGAGTGTCGGTTTGCCTGCACCTCATGCTGTCCTCAGGCCTCAGGGGCGCCACTCTCTGATCTATTTGGATGCTTCCTGTTGCAACCATAGTTACTTCTCTCTGCTTTCAGTTGTGCTCCACTCAGTGAACTGTCTGACTAAAACTGCATAAAATTCACAAAGCCTTTTGGTGAACCAAATGCAGGCATGTGACTGGACTACCATCGACCTCCAGAATTTCCTCAGCACCCTCCTCCTGCCTAGCCCCTGTGACCCTTGTCTGTCTTGGTGAATTCAGCTACTGAAAGACCCTGTCGGGCTGGAGAGACGACGGCTCAGTGGTTAAGGGCACTGCCTGCTCTTCCAAAGGTCCTGAGTTCAATTCCCAGCAACCACATGGTGGCTCACAACCATCTGTAGTGAAATCTGGTGCCCTCTTCTGGCCTGCAGGACACTGTGTGCATAATAAATAAATAAATCTTTAAAAAAAAAAAAAGACCCTATCATGGAAAAAAAAGAAAAGATAATAAAAAGAAATGAAAATAATATAAAAAGACCCTATCATGGAGTTCCTCACAAATCTATATGCCTCTCAAGGTATGTACTTCTGGGTTAGGAGGGTCATTTGTTGTAGGAACTTTTTCCAGGGAGACATAACCGAGTAACCAGGCATATAGCGCCTGATGACAAATCAAAGTACAATTCTACCAAAAAACCCAGCTTGGAGAACCAAAGAGTTTATTGGGCTTACAGATCATGGATGAGTGGCTACTTCCATGAGCACAGGGACCTCCGTAGCAGTTAGCCCCAGTGTGGACAGTGAGTTCCCATAGCTATATAGATAGACCTCCTGCCTTCAGTTGACCTTCCACAGTCCGTGCACTCTGACACTTCTCTAGACCATGAGGCCACATGCAGTTAGGACAAGATTGCATCCTGGTGGATGGGAGATGCAGGGGTGGGACAGAATGTCAGATGAGCCCAGTGACCCTTCCGTCCTCACCCATGGGGGTGCCAGCAGTCAACAAAGCCTGGTCTCAGGGGATCTCTTGCAAATCATAACAGCTTTTCTGGTAAAATGGTGGCCGTCACACTCAAAGGATTGTGTCTTACAGCACATTGCAATTCTGGAGGAGAGGTGTGGAGCAGCCGGGCACGGCTCCAAGCTGGGTTGAAGCAGAGAACCTCCTAATTATTTTCCTTTGGTACCTGTGGTTGGCAGGTACCTCCACAGCAGCGTGACAGAGAAACGAGGAAAGATTTCCCATCGAGTGAGATCCAGCGGCTACAGGAACAGAACGCGGGTCTGCGGAATGCTGTTGCACAGATGAGGAGAGAGATGGAGTTGCTGAGTGGCCATCTCCCTTCTGCTCACCCAGAAGAGTGCCCGGATGCAAACCCTGGTGCCAAGGCTGCCGGAGGCCCAGCCCTCCCAGGTGAGCAGGTGGAGATGGAGGGGAGGAGTTTAGAGGGGTATATGGTGGGCAGTGGGAGCAGGACAGGACAGGACAGGGAGAGGACCCCTAGACAGACTTCTCATTCCAGCCTCACACCCTCTAGAGATCTCTGCAGAGCAGGACAGTCGCTTGTCCTCCAAGAGAGAAACTTAAGTTTAGTACTGAACAATGTTTCTCTGGCGACATAGAGGAAAAAGTTCAGGGCACATACCTGACGAACCTGGCAAGCCGTAAGCCTAGGCAGAATGAGGCCAGGCATCAAGAGGAGCCTCCTGCAGTGGATCTGAGCTGGCAGCCCCACCTATGTCTTGTTCCTAGCAGGCTGCATGGCTGCTTCTAAAACCTGATCCCTGATGTGGAGTTGTTTCATCCATGCACAAAGCCTATGGGAGGCAGACAAGTTCTCACTCGGGGTCCCAGAACCTTCCTGTAAGATAACGGAAGCTAGGCTGAGCTGTGAAGGTGGATCCTGAGCGTTGAGGAGAGAGATCAGGGCAGAGGAGAGCCTTCGAGCCTGAAGCCTGGCATAGCAGGAGAAAGGGGTCTAAGTGTGCCAGTGAGTGTATGTTGTGTTCCCTGGGGTTTTGGCAGATCATTTTCTGGCTCTCGAAGCAGAAATTCAAAACCTAAAGCATAAACTTGAAGTCCTGGAAGAGCAGCGACAAGGTGTCAGAGAGCCAGTGAAGACATCCTTGCCCACTGATGATCCACACCCTGGTGAGAACCCCTGGCTATCTGTCCCAGTCCCAGTATGCCCTGTCCCAGTAACACTGACTATGAGAAAATTAAGATGCAGTCCCTGAGGCAAGTCTTCCAAATGCATGCATAACTCCACAGTGTTCATCGCCATCAGACACTCTGTCTCCAGAACCAGGAGTCCCCTGGAAGTCCCTAGGGTTAGGTGGGAGTTCTGTTTCCTCGTGTAAGTAGAATTATGTGCATTTGTCTGTTGTCTTTTGGCCTAAATTGTGTTTTAGTGGACAATGCCCGACTTCACAGTGCTGTGCCATTCACCCTCCGTTAGCAGTTTGCAGGACAGCCCTTCAATGTCATAATCTTTCTTCCTGGTTAGCATCCTCGAGGCTGTGTGGCACACCCTGTCACAGTGTGAACTTGCAGTCTCCAGTGCATTGGTGAGCATGAACATCTTTCCTGGGCTTCTGGAATCCTCATCTGCCCTGGCTGTCATGGTGAATGTATTAGTTACTTTTCTGTTCATGAATTAGGCAACTTACAGAAGGACACATTTATTGTGACTTGCAGTCACAAGAGGGTTAGAGTCTATAAAGACAGGGCTAAGGCAACAGACAGGCATGGCAACTGGAAAAGGGTACTGAGAACTTACATCTCGAACCCCAGCACAAAGCAGATGGAGGGTGAACTGAAAATGGTGTGGTGTTTTTGGCCTCCAGCCACATGCCTCCTCCAACGAGGCCATATCTCCCAAACCTGCCTAAACAGTGCCACTGACTGGGGATCAAGTGTTTGAGCATCTGAGCCTGTGAGGGACATTGTCATCCAGACCTCTACAGTGAGATACTCCAGACCAGCATCTGAGCCTGTGAGGGACATTGTCATTCAGACCTCTACAGTGAGATACTCCAGACCAGCCTAAAAAAGAAAGGTTGGTGGCCACGTGTGGCCTCTGAGAGACCCTGGAGTTCTGAGCAGCAATCAACTGTCAAGTCCCAGACTTTTGTCCCTGGGCTCCTCAGGGCTTTCCACAGATTTCTATCCACAGGCCCTGCCTAGGAGTGTTCTGCCCTTGGTGCAGAGCTGATGTTGGGAGTGGGGCAGGAGCACAGAAGACAGGCACCTTTCCTGGAACAGGCTTGCCTTGGGCCTTCTTTCCATTCTTCAGTGGGAAGCAGTGTGTGCGTGTGTGTGGTGCAGTGTGCTCCCCCCTCGTACCTGAGCAGGGGAAGGATGGGAACTCATGTGGGTCATCCCAGGGCCCCCGTCCCTCGCCAGAGCCTTCTTTGTGCCAGGTTGTCATTAGTGAGAAAACAGGGTGGGATGCAGTCTCTGCTCTGTCACACCATCCTTTCCTGGGAAGGGCCCAGAAACTGGTGCGGCTTCCTGATGGCTGCTGCACCTGGCTTGCCAGGGCTTCATGGAGAACTGCCAGATTTGTGGTCAGAAGTAAGATGGGCTTGTCATTTCATTTCCTTTTTGTAATGATCAGGTCACAGTTTGGGGCCAGGGTTACTCTGGCCTTAGAGCTATGAGTGTTCAGACAATTAAACATTTGTAGAATTCTTCTCTGAAATCCCCAGGGCCCAGAATTTTTCTTTGGGAAGGTTTGAAGTTTAATTTATTTATTTGTTGTTAAGGGGCTGTTTATATACATTGTTTTATTTTTTTGTTTTTTGTTTTTGTTGTTGTTGTTGTTGAGACAGGGTCTCTCTGTGTGGCCCTGGCTGACCTGGAACTCACTTTGTAGACCAGGCTGGCCTCACACCCAGATCCGCCTGCCTCTGCCTCCTGAGAGCTGGCACTAAAGGTGAGCGCCGTCACCGCATGGCCATATTTTCTTTTTATGTATGCTTGTTACATTATACTAAGATATTATCCATCTCCCCGAGTTTTCACACCTTTGGGGTGAAGTTTCTGATCCTATCGGTTTTGCTCGTTTGCTTCTTTGAGATGGTGGTGACCCTCCAGCCTCAGCTTCCTGAGTCTTAAATGTTGGGAAACATCTCCCCCATGCATCATAGCACAGTTTTTGTTTTAGTTCTCTTTTATTCTTTTTTTTTTTTTTTCTTTTTAAGAGACAGAGTTTCTCTGTGTAACAGCTTTGGCTGTCCTGGAACTCGATCTGTAGACCAGGCTGGTCTCGAACCCAGAAATCTGCCCACTTTCGGCCTCCTGAGTGCTGGGATTAAAGGCGTGTGCCACCATGCCTGTCATCTTTGCTTCTTTCTTGATATCATACTCTAGAGTGTAGAGTTATTTATTTCTTCACTTACTACCTTTACAAAAGCCAATCATTGGTTTTGTTTGTTAGTTTCTGTTTCCTCAGTATTTAATGTTAATTTTATTCTATCCTTCCTTCTAGATTCACACACTGATCTTTTATTTCTAAGATATGTACCTAATGCTATAAATGTCCTTTTTCTTTTTTTATACAGTGCTAGAATGGAACCTCGTGCCTGGCACACAGCGACCAGCTCTCTGCCTCTGAGCTCTAGCCATAGCCAGTTTAGGTTTTAGTGGGGATTTTTGTTTTTTGGTTTTTTTGTATTGTTTTGTTTTTACATGTATGGGTGTTTTGCCTACATGTGTGCCTGGTGACTGCAGAGGCTTAAAAGGGTGTCAGATTCTCTGGAACTGAAATTACAGATGATTGTGAACTGCCACGAGGGTGCTGGGAACCAAACCCTAGTCCTCTGGAAGAACAGAAAGTACTCTTTTTTTTTTTTCTTTTGGTTTTTTTGAGACAGAGGATAATGCCTCCCTTGGAAAATCACCTGCTGGCCTTGAACTCACCCTGCAGACTCCTGAGTAACTGGGATTTACAGTTGTGAGCCACCAGGCCTAGGTGCTGTGAGTTCCCTTGGAAGGATAGCTTTACATACATTCCTTAAAGTTGTTTTTACCATTCTGCTCAAAATAACTTGGACTATCAAGTGTCACTTCTTCTTTGCCCCAGGTGCTATGTGAGCATCATTTTTTTTCTTAATTTCCAAATAAATGTATTTAAGTGGGAAAACTGATCTGACATGGTAAGGCTGGGTTTCATCCTATAGTCCTGCTCTCTCTTCATAAGATTGCACTAAGTAGTGCATCTCTGATCTTTCTAGGGACCCAATCCTTTGATTCAGGGATGGACATATTTACCTGGAGGTCAGTTGGAAGCTTCAGTAGGCCTCCATGGGGAAGAAGGCTCAACTCCCCGGGGAGACTGTTTTTGTTTCTGAGGTCTGAGCTGAGAGCAACTGTTCTTATCTGCAGGGGCAGCTGTGACAGACCAGGCATGCATTGCATTAGCACTCAGAAAACTCGGAGACAGAGTACATCTCTTGAACTTGCTGGTGACACAGCTCAAAAAGAAGGTGAGATTAGCCCTTAACACTTAAGGTTGTGCAAGCAATCCTACTGAAGAACCGGTCCAGATGAGAGGTGCCAGGTGTGACCTCACTGACCTTGGGTGTTTTGGGTGTCTTCCCAACTTCTCTTTTCTTCAGAACAAAGGACTGTGCTGTGCAGTAGCTGGTTTATCTCATGTGTGGCTATGAATTATTCACAGGGAAGCCTGATATGGTAGGTGTCTGTAGTTCCAGCGCTCAGGAGGTAGTCAGGAGGATCAGGAATTCCAGGTCATCCATGGCTACAGACAGAGTTGGAGGCCAGCCTGAGACACATGAGACCCTTTCTCAAAACAGCAGCAACAACAACAAATGCACACACACATACACACCTACTCACACATGCACACATACATTTACACACACATTTCAATGCTGTAGACAAGTAATAAGAATTTAACTTAAAGCATTTTAATTTCTCTTTGATAACTAAAGACAGTTGGAATAAACTGGGTAAAATATTTACCTCCAGTCAGGTATGATGGTGCATGCCATTAATCGTAGCACTTGGGAGGTGGCGACAGGCAGATCTCTGTGAGTTTGAGGTCAGCCTGATCTACACCAGTTAAGTTCCACACCAGTCAAGGCTACATAATGAGATGCTGTCTAAATAAAAACAGGTTTACCTTCAAGTGTTTTCATTTTTTATTTAACAGTGTCTGATCACCTAATGGTCCCTTTGGTATATACAAATTAGTCACCAAAGTCTCTGGAGTAGAAGCATTCTTTTTTGTGTTGTTGTTTTTGTTTTTTTGGTTTTTTGTTTTTCGAGACAGGGTTTCTCTGTGGCTTTGGAGGCTGTCCATGAACTAGTTCCTGTAGATCAGGCTGGTCTCGAACTCACACAGATCTGCCTGCCTCTGCCTCCTGAGTGCTGGGACTAAAGGCGTGCACCACTACCGCCCAGCTCTTAGAAGCATTCTTTTAATGCCCTTCACCTAGACTGGGAAGCCAGACTACAAAGAAGTGTATTCCCCATCTGCCTAGTTCTCCTCCTACCTGGACCTATGGCCTGTAACTTCTCTTTCTGAGTTTCATTTCTGCCACAGCCACTTCTCCCACTGTCATTTATTTTTTTGAAGCATAGGTTCTCTTGTAGCCCAAACTGGCCTCACACTTGCTGAGAATGACCTTGAATCTCTGATCTTTCTGCCTCTATTTCCCGTGTGATGTTGGCATCTGAGCCCAGGGCTTCATGCACGCCAGGCAAGCACTCTGTCCACTGAAGTACGTTCCCAGCCCGTCACTCCCTTTTGCTGCCTCCCCCTCAAGATCACTTCCCTCTTATCTCCTTCTGCAAACATCACCACTCCCATTTTTTGGTCTTTTGAAATGGTCTCACTACATAACCCTGGCTGTCCTGGAACTCGCTTTATAGACCAGGCTGGCCTTGAACTCTCAGGGATCCACTTACCTTTACCTCCCAAGTGCTGGGATTAAAGGTATGGGCCACCTTGCCTGGCCTGTCATCCACCCTTTGGATAGAAAGGACTTCCTAGTCACCAGCAGTGTTCTAGAGGCAGTTGCATCTTCCTGGGAGCTAGGGCTCAGGATAGAGTTGTAACCTACTTTCATTCACAAATTCTCCCCAGTAAGCCTTCATGTCCAGATGGATTGCACAGAAGTGAAACACACCCTGTAGAGCCAGAGAAGGAACTAGCCATTGGCCTTGCTCCGCCCCTGCACCTCATACTCCTGTCCTTCCTGGGACAGTCCCCCCCCCCCCACCCCCCC